AGTTGTTGAACCCACTACTCTGTAGGAAACAATGTAGAATTGTTTGCAGCAGCAACTATGACGGGCCCATCCTAAGACCACAGCTAAAATGGGAGTATGTTCATTATCAAGCAATATGGTGTCCTCAGTACTAACACATAGCTATTTAGCATAGTGCAACATTTTTCTGGATTCCTATTTTTTTCCTAATAAATCTTTAATTGGATCATTGTTCCCACATATGTAAAAATGATTTTAAAAAGAGATGAACAGTAGCCTACTGGTGGTCCAGAGTTGAGCACACTAGGAATAGTCTATCATCCATTTCATAATCAAGTCCTGAAAGTCTGTTTCTCTAAGGACTGTAGACACTTCTATAAGCCCTCAACACATAAACACAAAACAGTTGAGAGACTCTTCAGTCTTTGTCAAAAGAGCAGAAATACCATATACTTAGTGCCACTCATGGATATTGGTTTTTCTTATTTGCCATCTGTCCAAACCTAAAACTCCATTCAGTTACCAGGACCCAGGCCTTTCTCCTTGTCCCTCTGTTCAGGTGCCCTAAATTCTGACATTGACTTCCCTTCTGTATTATTTCCCATCATTTTAAGTATTTTACTACATTCTCTTTTTCCTTGCATGGTTTCTGAAGATAAGTCAGATGAAATTCTTATCTTTGCTCCTCTGTAGTTAGGGTGTCCCCCCACCGGCTTCTTTCAGGGGATTATTTTTGATTTTATATATATATACACACACATATATAAAAAATATATTTTGACACCTTTTCTGCTTGGTGTTCTCTGAGTTTCTTGGATCTGTGGTTTGGTGTCTGTTATCAATTTGGGGAAATCCTCAGTTATTATGCTTTCCAGTATTTCTTCTATTCCTTTCTTTCTTTCTTCTTCTAATATTCCCATTACACTTATGTTATACCTTCTGCTGTTGTCCTAGGGGCCTTGGATATTCCATTCTGGTTATGGGTTTTTGTTGCTGTTTTTCAATCTTTGTTCACTTTGCTTTTTAGTTTTTTTTTTTTTTTTGTAGGTTTCTGTTGAGTTATCCTCAAGTTCAAAGATTATTTCCTTAGCCATGTCCAGCCTACTGATAAGTCCATAAGAGACATTCTTCATTGCTGTTATGTTTTTGTTTTTAAACCTCTAGCATTTATTTTTGGTTCTTTCTTAAGGTTCCTATCTCTCTGTTTATACTACCCATCTGTTGAAACATGCTGTCTCTTTTGTCCATGAGAGCCCTTAGCATATTAATCAGTTATTTTAAATGATTGGTCTGATAAGTTCAACATCCTTGCTATGTCTGTTCTGATACTTGCTGTCTCTACAAATTGGATTTTTTTTTCCCTTTTGGTATACCTTGTAATTTTTTCTTGATAGCCAGTCATAATATACAAAGTTAAAGGAACTGCAATAAGTAGATCTTAGACACATTTGAGTGAGCCATGGGATAAGGGAAATTGTTCTATAGTCCATGATTTGGTGTCAGTCTTTTAGTGAGCCAATACCTCTGGACTGTGACCTTCACAAATGTTTTTTCAGTGTCCCAGCCCCCTTAGTTGAAAAAGAATGGCCAGAGTGGTCTGGAATTGAGTTACCCTTGCCCAGATTGGGTAGGCTCTGATAATTAGGTTTCCAGCAGGTTAAACTGGTTAATTAGTTTTCCTGGGGGTAAGGCCTGTTAAGAGGAACAGGATGCTCTGGTGTATTTCAAAATGATTCCTTTTCCTTTCCCCTTGCTGAAATCCCAAAGGCATTTTTCTCTCATTTTTACTGTGAGAACCAGGTAAAAGTCCCATTAAGTAAATCTCACAAAATTATGTTATCCCTTCCCCATGACTACATTTCCCAGGGGTTTTTTAAGTCTCAAAGTTGTCTGCACTGAACCTTCAGTAATTCATCAATTACAGTTTGGATTTTCCTGCCACTATACTGATTCCCAGGATGATTTCCACTCATGAGTATTTGCTGTGGTAAATTACTATTCTTCATATTTGTGTGTCAGTCTCTCCAATCTTGGGGATAGTACTTTGCCTTGTTTCCTCACCTCTCTTGCTTTTCTCCTAAACCTTTTATACAATTTTTCATGTGTTACCCTATTTTTAATTTTCAGGAGCTCTTTTTGGTTCATTAAATGTTTATTGTTTTGTCTTCAATTATTTTGTTCTTACTGTTCTTGTTTTATATATGTACACTCTCCTCAACTCATATTATCCTGAGGAAGTTTGTTATATATTTTAAAATCTATTTCTTCTCCCAAAATTGTACAGTTTTGTTTGTTTCTTCCTCTGAGCTCCCCCTTTTCTCTATACTTCTTATGTTTGTTCATCCATTCTTTCTTTTCTTTGTCAGGAATTTCTTTATATGTTCACTGATCTCTGTTACCTGAACATATGTAGAAATTAAACACTCAAAAGCTATTTGGGACTTCAATGAATGTGGGAATCTTATTTTCACACAGACCTTACTGTAGGGTGATCAATCTGTGATACTACACTAGGGAACTCCAGACTTTATCTATTTATGCACACACGATATATGTATATATTATATATATTATACACACATACACACACACACACAGAGCATTCTTTCTTGTGATGGACCATTTCCCCAGGGAAAATTCCTCTAATCTTGTGCCAGTGGAGGTGTGGACCTTGTTATTAGGTTTCTGAGTCATTTGAGACAATCACCTCATTTTCAGTGGAGCAGCTTACTCTAATCTTTGGCTCAGTTGCACCTACTGATTCTGAGTGAAAGGTATCCCTGGATCAAATTCTGCCAACAGTAAACCTATTCCCAGGATGGGGAAAGGGATCAGCAATGGATTTCTGGAGGGATTCAGGGAATCTAATTGCTTCTTTTACAAACTTTTAATACTATTCATATGTTTAGTCCCGCATAAACCCTACTTACAGAAGCATCTGGTGTCTCTATTTCTTGAGACTTTTGAGGTTCCATTGCAAAAAGCAGCCTGCTTCTGACTTGTTTCCTCTCTCAACTTAAATTTTAACTTCCTTCTGTCTAAGTCGGTTACCACTCATCCATCTGCTTTCTAGCTTCCAAACTTGTGTTAGTGCTGTCTCATCTACCATCTCCTTTGTCCTAATGAGTGAAATTTTTAATTCATTTCCTGTCAATTTAGCAGAGTGTCAGGAAGAAATGAAACACATTTGTTTAACTGAATGATCTCAAATTCACAATTTAAAGGGTACTCTAAAAGATATCATATTTTTATTTATTAATGCTTCTGCTTCTTCTTGTTACTCAAAATGTTATTGATACTGGAATACTGAGTACTTTAAAACAAAGTTACCACTTAAGGGGCACAAAATTCACAATTATATAAGTTAAATAATTATGGAAACATATGGTAGATTATGACCAGTTCAAATTCATTTATTCCATAAATACATTTGGAGCACCTACTGTGCCAAACCAATTAAGAAACTCCTGAAATAGTTATAGTTAAGTACTATTTCAGTACTTAAGTGAACTGAGAAGGGTGTGGTCTGAATTAAGATTGCAACCATGGAGAAGAAGGGGAGCAGATGAATTTTTAGAAATACATATTGCAAAGAGAAATATTTTATAAATTTTTCCAAACTGTGTTTGCTCTATGCTCTTGTATTAGTTTGGTAGGCTACAGTAATAAAGTAGAATAAACAGAGTGGCTCAAATAACTGAAATTTATTATTTCCCAGTCCTGGAGGCCAGAAATCCAAAATCAAAGTGTTGACAAGGTTGATTCCTTCTGAAGATAAGGAGGAAATGATCTGTTTCAAGCCACTCCTCTTGGCTTATTGATGGCTGTCTTCATGTTCACATGACATTCTCCCTGATAACTGACTGTCTCCAAACTTCCTCTTTTTACAAGGACACCAGTCATACTGGATTAAGGTCCATCCTAATAAGCTCATTAGAACTTGATTATCTCTATTAAGACTTTGTCTCCAAATAAATTCACATTATGAGGTACTTTGTCTCCAAATAAATTCACATTATGAGGTTGGACTTCAATATATGAATTTTGGGGGACACAATACAAGCCCTAATAACTCTCTTCAAATAAAGGATGAGAAAATTAGATTTAAAGTGAATAAGAACTTTAGGTAAATTAGAATGAGGTCACAAGAGAACACAGAGCCTGCCACATTCAGGACTCACAGTCTAAATTAATATAACAGACTGTCCTATTAAATGCTCCAGAAAAAAAAAAAAAAAAACTAATCATGTCCCTGAAAGATCCCATGCATAGATTGCCTTTTCCCCAGTCACTACGGAAGCCATCAGGGCTTTGTCTCTGCACCACAGATATGGCTAGAAATAAACTCATTGGCTTAAAAACACAGGAGTTAACAGTACCTGCTCAATATAAAATAATAAAGCACTTTTTAAAAATAATAAAATCAGAATGCATGTTTAAAAATACAAGTTATAATTTGGTAAATTATACCATTTAATTTAATTATGAGTTTATATAACTTTAGGCCAAAAAAAAAGATGAATCACAGAGATCATATAAGTTAAAGAGTATCAAGTTGAGATGTACTTCCCTATCACCTGGGGATCTTTTAAAAATACACAGATTCCAGATCCCTACTTTATATACCCTGAATAGAATTTTCATGAATGCATACTTTTTTAGAAGCTCCCAACTGATTCTAATGCAGACTGCCTGATCCATCTGCTTTGTTTTGAGTTGAGGAAATTGAGATCATTTTAACAACATTACATAGCAAAGGACATATTTAATAAAAATATATGACATTTCATTTTGATCAACAGAAAACCCAAGGACTAGTAGATACTACTTCAAAAACAGCTTTTTTGACACAGTCTATAATGCAGCTATTCTTATACGATGGCAAAAACAGTTTAGAGATATTTGCTTCCCTTCAGTAATATTTTAAAGTTACCTATATTTAACATAGGCAGATTTAAAAAAAATTTTTTTTTTAATCTTCTCAGGTAAGAACAATTATGAAAGAGATTTTAGAAACTTACAGATGATGTCCTATCCACTTCACAACGGCTGCTCAGAATAAAACAGGCCTCAGCATCATCCATCCTAAATACAGACAAAAAAATAAATAATCATATATTGAAATATCTTCATAGTGTCTGAAAAATAGAATTCCAATGCTTAGTCCAATGTACACAAAGTGCAAATAAACTATGAGTATCCTTAGGCTTAAATGAAAGTTAGATTTCTAGCAGACCGTGACTGTACTGGACTGGAAACAAAAAAATTGTTGTTGAATTGGCTATATAACTCAATAGTTCATAATGACAAAAAAAAAAAAAACCACCTCAAATTTTATTCTCTTTGATGTTTATATATTTTCTCATATATATGCTTTGTTTAAGGGAGTTGTATTGGTCTTCATTTTATGATTAGTTACATTTTAACTGCAAAGTTAATTAACTAAGAGAGAAGGAACAGAGTTACTTAGTATTCTTATATCAAACTCTACTGTACATTTACATTTCTTGGAGATGATTCATCATCTTGTTCCAAATCCCTGTCCCTTATACTGAAGCTCTACATTTCTTAAATTTGGTGATAAACAGTAGGTTTCAGTGCTTGATTAATAATGTTCTAAAATCATAAAAATGTTGGGGTTCCTGGCTGGCTCAGTTGGTAGAACATGCGACTCTTGATCTCAGGTTATAAATTCCACATCCCCTTTGGGTGTAGAAATTATTTAAAAATTAAAATATCTTTAAAAAATAAAAACAAAAAAATGTTAATTTCAAAATTAGGAATGTTTTATCTTTCTGCTTCATTATGATAAAATAAACCCTCCCTCCCCCGCCCAAACTTTTTTTTCTATGCAGGGGAAAGATAAAAGTCCATGAAATTAGATCAAACCAACCAGTTTTGGAAAAATATTGAGGCATGGTTACAAGATAATGAGTATCACATAACATTTTCTAAACATCATCTTCAACAAAGCAATTCAAAATTCATGCAACTGACCTTTGGAACTGGTTTGGAGAATCCTACTCCTTGTTTCTTGCATGGGAAATTGTGTTGAAGAATGTATTAGTTAACGTTAAATCCCAAATCTTTATATGACATTAGGATAAGAAATGAACATAAAATGAATACTTCTTTCTTAACCCAGATTTTTTAGTATTACCAGCCTGCTACCTCTCTCATCCTCATTTTCATCCTTTGTATATTCTAATGAATGAATGGTTTTTGTAAATGTGATTGATTTTGCTGAGAAATCATTTAATAATATTAATAATAAATGAATTTCTAATCCTAAATAAATCGTGTAATTACTAAAAAGATAAATCATTTTCCCTCTCCCCTTCTAAGTTCTTGGCTGAGACCCCTTTGTGATAAAAAGACAGATTAACAGAAGAGAAACAGAAGTTTAGCAACACGTATACCTCCTGTATACGTGGGAGACACCTAGGAAAACTGATTAACTTCTCTCCCATGAAGCCACCACCTTAAACAGCATCTTCAGCTAAAGACAGAAGATGTTTGGCTAATGGTGGAGCTAGCTATGGGAACCTATCAAGAAAAGCACAGTAAATCTAGGTAAGGTTGTTATACAGATCTAGGTCCTTGCCTTCTCCATTCACAAGAGCTTCCAGAGACTGAGTCATCCTCTTCCAGGTAGAGATAGAGATAGAGATAGAGAGAGAGAGAGAGAGAGAGACTTATGGATGGAGATTTCCCTTATAAACGTGAATGTCCCTTACAAAAGGGTTAGTTTCTACTAGGGTTTTCAGTTTTTCCTGTGTCTACTGCTTCTTAAAAATAATCAATTCACAATAATCTTTATCCCATTGAGGCATATTTTGTGGTAGCAAATTCTGTTCCCTTCTATAGTATCAAGCTAAAATACTAACAGCTAAAACTAATAGCTTAGATTAATTTATTAGGTAATAAAAAGCCTTCAATTATCACATAAATTCATAGTGAACATAATATAGGAATTATTCTTATGTGAAGAACTTAATGCATATGGTAAATTAAGCATACTGATTATCTGTGCAGATGAAAGTAAAGATCCAAATTATGTTAGTGTCTAAGCAGCTATTTCTTTAGAGCTCCCAAATAATGTGTATAGATAGCAAATAGCAAACACCTAAAGCCATCTATTGCTTGAGGTGCTGGGAGAATCTGACTTAACTCTTGTGTGTACACTGACAACATCTATGAAGTATTTAATCCACTAGAAATACTAATATATTCTCAAAGAAGCTAAATTTCCCAATTACATACCATTCACTATATTATGATGGTTTCTACGAACTTCTTTTTGTTTCAGAAGTCATTAAATCATTAAAAAAGTCTGGTAATGTCAAAGTTCAAGTTACAAAATACCTAGTCATCACTTTGCAGAATTAAGCCCCAAAAAGGAGTTTGGGAGTTTTCTCCTGTTCTTTTCCACTGTCCCACCCCCCCCCCATCCCCACCACACACACACCATGCATAAACATGCCCACTCCCACCAACACATATACTCAAGCCATCCAGAAAAAACAAAACAGCAAAATAAAAAATACTTATGCTCTCAAATTCAGCGAGCAGATTTATATTTAAAGGAGCACAAAAGACAACTCAGGGACAAGTGGAGAGGTAGGATCCAAGGTGACTCCAAGATGGGCCACATTGGCCTGAAGATTACTTTGAGCTAAAAAGCAATCAAAACCCAGCAGATTAAAAACAAGCAAACAAACAAACACCCAGCAGATTTGGGAAAGCTCCTCATCTCCCTCCTCAACCACCTGAAAAGAATTTAGATAGAAAATCTGCCCCAGGAAGGAAGTCATCAACATAGATAACTACAGTATGATACAAACCTGGGAAGGCAGGCAGGGAGGAACCTAGCAAGACCTGTTTGATCGAAGAAGACCTGTTTGATCGAAGTCCTCCATGTCCCATTGTTTCTGAGTGGCCCAGCAAATGTTTGTTCACCAAACATTTACTCCTTTTTTAAATTATTATTAACATACAATCTATTACTTGTTTCAGGGGTTCGGGTCTGTGATTCATCCATCTTACACAATACTAAGCACTCTTGATCATCTCCCTATAACCTGCTCTCCTTCCCTTGGTAGTCCCAGACCTCTATCCCTTCTCCTTAGTGCACAGTGACATATTTTGCCTGACTTGTCTCTGGAAGTTTCACATCGGTGTGGATTCCTTGCACATACACTATTAAATTTGATTTTCTCCTGTTAATCTGTCTCATGTCAATTCGATTCTTAGTCCAGCTGGAAGGACTTAGAAGGGGACAGGACATTCTTCCTCACCAATAAAGACATGTTTAAAACTTTAAAAGCAACAGAAAACATGGAGCAAAACCACCTCCGCTGAAGATTTCCTCTGACTTCTGAAACTATGGGTGTTGTTTGAAGAGGCCCTGACTCCCTGGTGTCCATGGTCTTCTGCCCAACTATGTTTTCACTCTGTTCATATGGAACAATTCCATGACCTGTGACAAAGGTATATGCCTATGTCACTTTTAAGCCAGGTTGGCTAGCACACGTGCAACAGGAAAAGAGCAGGTAAGATCCAGTTACCTTTCTGATTCCTCCAGCCCCCAGGGACATCTCTGACACCAGGCAACACAAGTGTCATCCGCCTGTACACAGTACAAACTTTGGAGCTTAAACCTTGACTCAACTGCTTTGGCATTTCCCAATGGTTAGCCCAACATTTTTATTTGTGGAATAAAAACTGTGGTCATTTGGAGACTACTCTAACAGTGAGTCTGGATAACTCCGCTCCTCTCTGACAGCTTGAGATAATTACACCATGCCACACTCCTCACTGTGTTGTATGGACATGGTCCACTGAACATCCTTGCACTGAGAAAAGGAGCAAATACACTGATTTTATATTTTTAACCTTTCAGTTTGAGCAGCAGTGGAACTATGGCAAGACTCTGTATACAAAAATACTTAAACACATCTTGCAAGAATGAAAATTGCTAAAATTCAGAGGAGAGAAAAGATATTAAAGTATTGCAAGATGGAAAATAGATAGGGATACCTACTTTGCTCTCAACAGATCCTGATCTTTAAGGGCTGAGCCTTGAAGATAGATAACTCTTTGTGACCACATTGGAATCTGCAGTACCCTTCGAACTTGCACATCCATTTCAGTAGGACACAAAATCACCACATAATAATCCTATTCAAAACAAAGTGAGCAAAGGGGCAAAATCAATAAAGGTGTGTTTTATATTACATAAGTAAACAGAATGTCTAAGAACATTTAGAAATATGATGATATAGAAATAAACTCCTGCTAACAAGTAAAAATTTGCATTTAAAACCTGGACCTACATTAATTAACAGATACTATAATAAACATAACTGAGACATATAAAAACCTCATAAATCAACATAAGGTTTTTCAATCTTATTAGTACTATGAAGAGAAGGTAATCAGTGTATACTCAGTAGACATTTCCAACTTATGAAGTTTTCAGTTATATTATAACTTCAGGCTGATTCTAAAATACATAATACATACAGGGCAGAAGTACTTAAAAATCAATTCAAACTTCAAATTTTTACTTTTGGAATAGAAACTCTGATGGTGATTTATATCATTTGGAAATATTATGAACTGATAATACTGAAAAATCTCTGATTACTATCTGAAAGGATAAAGATTCATAAAAATATTGATAATATAAAGTAAATTTAAAACTTTGATATCACATATTTCAATATAATGGTCCTTTGGAGAAAATACAAGAGCACTATGAGTGATAAAATAGTTTAATACACTGATAATAGGAATTACAATTCTCTGAGAAACATTCACCATTTTATCATCTAAAATGTATCTAGTGGAAATTTGGAGAGTTTTAAGAATTCTCCACATTGAAACCAGTCAAAATAAATTAATAGGTGTCACAATTTGGGGTACCATATTTTCCCAAAAATCGGTTTTCTTGTTGGAATATAATAAGCAAAACTCCAATTATTTAATATGAATAATAATAAAAACAACAAACACGGTGTTTCTTCAAAAATGCAAATTAATTTATATGGAAGAAAAAGAATGTATGAGGTAATTTAAGCATTGCTTATTTATGAACTATATTTTTAAAAAATATTTTTTAAAGAGTATTTTAAAAGATCTCCAATATAGTCATGAAAACAAAAATCTACTTAAGGGAGATCTAATTAGATATACTCACTACTGTTTTGATCTTGGGATTGTCCAACCTCTTGACACAAATTTATTGAGGAATTACAAGACATTCAAGTAGCTCTTTACTATTTGGACTGAACTAAGTGTATTGAGCAGGAAAAGGATATTACCTAGATCTACACTGGCCCAATACCACACAGCAAGGAGTAGAAGTATCTGAGGATTTTATCAGCATAGACAGATGAAGAGATTTTTTTTTTCTGAATTATTGTTCTCAATTCAACTAATTATTGTCCAGTTTTGGGTCATTCATTGCTAGTATAAATAAGACCTAGGTACACTCTGGGAAACAAAAGGAAAAACGGAACTTTCAGACTTCCACATTTCTACCAGCAACACTTAATAAAACTTCCAATAATTTCAAGTGAGTAGATGATATTGTGAAATGACTTTTTCATTGTTTGATATGTTAAATTCCACTGTTTCGTAAAAATGTCATTTGTGCATTACCCAAGAGAGGAAAAAAAATCCTTTTAATTCAAAGAAACCTTTCTTTGTAGCATTAACATAATTCCATCTGTCTTTTAGTGTAGATACAGAAGGAAACTTAAAATACTGTGTATTCCTTAGGCATTTTTTCTATGTTCCTGGTTATATTTGTAGTTCTTCATTTACTCTTTCTAAATTTGAGTGTATAAATAAAAATCCTCCAGAATGCAGGCCGCACCATCAGTTAATTGACTTTGACAATATGCTAGTTAGTTATGATCCAGTAAAAGGCGTAACATAATTTCTATGTACCTGAAGTCTTGGGTGAGCATAGAATTCATTTAAAAAGTCCATAAGTAAATCAATCTTCAGTGAACTGACACACAGAACAACATGCTTCTCAGTTTGAGCTCTATGTCGACTATAGTTTCCACCTGATTTTTGTCTCTCCATCCACAAATAGGCCAGCTGTTCAAACTGCAATACATTTTCCACAGATGAACAAAAAACATTGGACGTGAAAGTAAAAACCAATGCAATACCTCCTTTGTTTATTAGATACACTCAATTTCTTAGCTGGAACTCACTGAGATTCAAATTATCTGTATTCCCTTCAATAATAGACTTTTCATGCAATTGCTGTGTAGGTTGCTAATGCTTCTGAGGGGCTTCAGGTCTCTACAGAAACATATTAATATGTTTTCCTATTATATCATAACAGCACTAAAAGGTTTGTACCTCTGATTTATGTCCAGGAAACCAGGCAGCCATGATGTGTCATGCACTGTGTCAAAGAGAAAAATCTCAAAGGCATCTCTTCTACCTTTTTCTACCAAGTTCAGCACACATGTCATGCAATGCGAGATACCCAACACACAAAGTCACTTTCTAGTTGGATAGTTGTGGTTGGTATATAAGGGAAGTGGAGGGACTAGAGGAGGGATGTCAGAAAGGAACACATGCCTGACTGAATAAAAGTGGGTTGATCATTTTCATACCTACATACATACATACATACATACATACACTGTGGCCAAAGGTTTAACACAGAAGTACAAGTTTGATTTGTATTTCCTATATCCTGTTTCTGGTCTGCTCACCTATGGGCACACAAGAGCTCACTGTAGGAAAGACTTGGAGATTGCATCTACTTGTCTTCAGACTCCTTTTATATCTCTTTTCCTTCTTTTTTGTATCTCCTTTTTTTATATCTCTTTTTATATCTTTTATATCTCCTTTCATATCTCTTTTCCTTATATCTCTTTTCCTTTGCAACCATCTTATCCACTTCCAGAATGTTTTTATATATATATGTATATTAAAAATATATATAATATATATATAAAATAGTTACAAATCATCCTCAGATTTTGTTTCATAGTACATATATTGTACATATATAGTACATATTGACCAATATATGTAATCAGTTTTTATTTATTACAATGTTTAGCTTTTATATTGCTTCAAAAACCAAAAGAAATCAAACCTTCATAACTTTATTGCCTTGGCCTATCATTCTGTAATTAAAACTATCACTCTGTAATTAAAATCTATGATCTTATAATTAATATAGTTAAATATATTACATATTTATATATATTATATATATAAATATATATTATACATGTATTTCAAATAAACATCTTCAAGAATTGAAATGAGCCGTATCAGTTATGAATGGAGGGTGAAAGTCAGTTTCTAATATAATGTTAAAAAGCATTTCCTGAGACCATTTTAATTCATTGACTAGATATAATAATAACATGTGTTAATATATTACATTTATAAACCACCCAGCATTTCTTATGAGGCATGGAAGATCTGATTTTATTAAGATTTGCACATTTCTATATAATTTACCCTGGCTCTCTTTACCTGTATGGGTAGAACCACAAGCGCAACACAGATCATGGCAACGACAAAAAGCTTGGAGGACCATGTTTCAGGGGTGACATCCCCAAAGCCCACAGTAGAAAATGTCACAATGCAGAAGTAAAGGGAGTCAAAGAGATTCAGCTTCTTTCCTATTCGTTCCAGATGTTGGATTCCACAAATGCTAAAGAAACAAATGTGCATTAAATTTAAAACTTTCAAATTAGACTCATTATTTCTCACTATTCTTTTGAAAGTCAAAGCACATTTTATAAAGCTATGCAGTAAGTTGGAACCTTATAATATATTTTTTTTTCCTCAGGAAAATATATTTTTTAAGTTTATTTTTTACCAACATTAACCAAATGTAGCATTATTTTGATCGATAACCAAAAATTGTAGTCAAAATATCACAGAGTATACTTGAGTATCAGCATGTAAAAGGAATAGACTGAATTTCATGGGTGACTTATACAAACATTTTGAATGCATGCCAGGAAACATAGAGACAGAAATTGCTAAATTTATTCCCTGTCAAAAGAGTGATAGTCTCCCCGCCCGCCCCAGGAAGCCATCTTATTGTATAATATGTGTATGTTTCCTACATATATGTGAAAGGTTTGAGGAGTTAACAATTGCCAAGTCATTTTCAGGAGACCAACCACCTGTACAAGGCTACTAAATGGTATAAAAGTAAGAGAGCTAGAAATTGTTACGAGATGTCCTCAAAGTAGAATTGTTAAAATAGTACTAAAAATAGCACTATTACTGGCAAAGAAAAAAAAGAAAAAAAGAAGAAGAAAGAAAAATAAAAAAAAAAGGAAAGGTGAGACTTGGAGGAAGATAGGAGATTTGCACATAAATCGGTACATAATGGCATACGATTCAGCAAGAACAAAAAAACAGGTATTGATGCATGTTATAATATGAATAAACCATAAAAAACATGCTGAGTGAAAGAAGACAGATGTAGAAAACTACAGACTATCTGATACTATTTTTACAGAATGTCCAGAAAAAAGACAGAAAGCAGACTAGTGGCTGCCTGGGGCTGGTGGTGGGAAAAGGGTGATAGAAAATGTTCTAAAACCGGAATGTGGTGATGATTGCAGAACTCTGTAAATGCATTTAAAATGATTGATATTTACACTTAAAATGAGTGCACTGTATGGTATATAAATTATTCCTCTACAAAGCTATCCAAAAAAAAATCAGTGTTTACTCTTGGATACCCATTCCAACTCTATGAACAAAAAGCAGACAGCTCAATTTTGATGACCGCAAAGAGGTAATATTCAATGTTTAAATTTGAGAAATTCCTTTTCTATCCTTTTAAGATAGTCTTCCTATTTGTCAGGATGCCTGGGTGGCTCAGCCGGTTAAGTGTCTGCCTTCGGCTCAGGTCATGATCTCGGGGTCCTGGGATAGAGTCCATCAGGCTCCTTGCTCAGCAGGTAGCCCACTTCTCCCTCTGCCTGCCTCTTTCCCTGCTTATGCTCTCTCTCTGACTCTCCTTCTCTGACAAATAAATAAATAAAATCTTAAAAAATAAAATAAAAAAATTTAAAAAGATAGTCTTCCTATTTGTCTAGGTTACATATAAAAAATATTTAATTATCTTAATTTTTTTTTTAAGGCAAAATCTCAGCCAGTGGGTAGGTAGATGGGTGGATAAGTACACAGGAAAATAAACTAAAGGACAGAAGAGAAAGAGTAAGGTACTTGTCATTTTACGGCTGAGGCAGAGACTGTTCTTTTTTTTTTTTTTTTTCTTTTTCTTTTCCTTTTCCTTTTAGTCTTTCTTTCTTTTTTTTTTTTTTTTCTTTCTTAATTCCAGGTTTCCAGAATGGTTCAGCAAAATTGCCCTTGCTCTATGCTTAGGAATTTTGAGCTGCCAGGTCATATGAGTTGGTTCGTATCAGTTTATTTGCTCTGCTGTCCCTATGCAATATAATAGCCAAGCTAATTATAAGACTATTCAGATGGAGCCTTACTATAACCAAATAGAACAACTGTTTGGTAACAAATATTCTGTGAAGTAGGTTTTCTTATTTTATTACAAAAATATATATTTGAAAATGGAAACAATTTATGCTTAACTTTTACACTTCAGTAGAAAATAAAATAAGAAGATAAATTCCATAGTTTTAAGGATTCAAATGTTAAAGGCTTACTATATTTTGCATAACTATACTTTAAAAGTCAGTACCTGTTCACAGATAAAATGTCCATTTCATAATTTAGATAAACATTATCTTCATATAAACTAGTATAAAAGCCTCCTGCTCTGTTTCCTTGTCTTCAGTTTGTTCTTTTTTTAATATACCCTATTAATAATGCCCATAGTCGGGGCACCTGGATGGCTCAGCGGGTTAAGCCGCTGCCTTCGGCTCAGGTCATGATCTCAGGGTCCTGGGATCGATCCCCACGTCGGGCTCTCTGCTCAGTGGGGAGCCTGCTTATTCCTCTCTCTCTGCCTGCCTCTCTGCCTACTTGTGATCTCTCTCTGTCAAATAAATAAATAAAATCTTTAAAAAAAAAATAATAGTGCCCATAGTCACATTCTTTAAACAAAGCTTAGAGGGGCGTTTGGGTGGCTCAGTGGGTTAAGCGTCCAACTCTTGATTTTGGCTCAGGTCATGAACTCAGGGTTGTGAGATAAACCCTGTCTTGGTGCTTAAGATTCTCTGTCTCCCTCTCCCACTATCCCTCTCCTCCCCCGCGGGTGTGTGTACTCTGTCTTGCTAAAAATAATAATAATAATAATAATTAACTTTAAAAAGCTTGGATATATCAATCACAAGTTTAAAAAAGGCACTGGATTCTTACAGTTTCAGACCACTCTCTAATTCATGGTGTGATAGTTTATTATAATAGCTGCCAGTAAATCAAGCCTTCCTATGCTCATGACTGTTTGCAACAGTATATTGCTGTACTTCCCATCAAAAGTGAAATCTAGTTATCCATGTCGTTGCATTCGAACAGCATAATAACTTACTTTGACCAACAGAATATTGTAGAAATGATGGTGTGTGGATTGCAGAGTATGGAACTTATAAGACCCTAAAGTTTTTGTTCTTGCTGTCTTAGAAGTCTGAGATTACCATGCTGTAAAAAAGCCTGATATAATCTACTGAAGGAGAGGCTTGTGGAAAAAAAAAAAAAAAAAAAAGTCCCAACTGACAGCCAGCACGAACTGCCAGACATGAGAGTCGGCCATCTTGGATACTCCAATTCCAGCCATCAGATGACTTGGCAAGAATAACTGCAAGTGAGACCAGCAGAAAAACTATCCTGGTTATCAACCACAGATCTGTGAGAAACAACAAATTGTGCTGTTTTAAGCCACTACCTTTTAGGTGGCTTGTTATATGGCAATAGATACGTGGTACATAGAGAATTAATTAGACTCCAGCATCTGGATCTAATCTGGTTTTTCTCAAATTTTGCTCTCCCTTTATCTCCCCTTCACTTACTATTTGGATGGTTTACCTATCATAGCATATATCCTTACCCTTCTCATGAAATCAACTTTTGCCCAATCTATTTCCTACAACTGAAGCCCTCTCTCCACAACACCAACTGTGATTCCCATTTTTTGAACTCTAGCTCGAAAATGACTTCCCTCATAAAGACTTCACCGAATCTCAAGTTCAAGGAATTCCTAGAAGTTTCCTGCTGAGTTCCTAGAGCACATATGAGTTCATGTCTCCTATAGGTTAACTTTTACAATGATACCTATTTTTAGAGTTTAGTATGTACTTACCCTACTGACACTATTTACACCTACATTTTTATTTCCTTGAGCTTTAGCACAAAGTGCTTAGTAGTCACTCATTAACTAACTGCTAAAAGAATCTTTAAAAACACCTGCTTAAACCATATTCAAATAATGTATGCAAACAAACTCCAGAAAGCAGTTCATTCATGTGTTCCTGTTTTTTATTACTGCATAGCAAACTCCCCAAAACTCAGTGGCTTAAAACCATAACAATTTATCATTTCACATGATTCCGTGTGGTAGTTGGGAAGTTTCTCTGGTTTTCTGGGGCTCACTCACATGACTACAGTGAGCTGGAAGTCTGGCTAGAATGAAAAGTCCAACATGGCCTTACTCCTGTGCCAAATGACCAGTCTTCATTGTTGTCTGTGTTTCTTGCTTGGTTATTACTCCATGTGACCACTCATCCTCCAGTGGATTCAACCTGCTTCCTTATTGTCTCAGGGCATTGATAGCAACTGAAAGTCTTCTTTAGACCGAGCTTTATCTGCCCCATTCTATTTGCCAAAACAAGTCACTAGATTAGCCCAGTTTGGAGGGGTGGCTGTGGAAATAGACTCTATCTCCTGATGAGAGGAGCTACAAAATTTTGTGATCATGTTTTTCAATCCACTAAACTGTATAAGTGAGAAAACTTACTGCAACCTGTATATATCTTAATAAATATTACTGAATAAATCATGTTATAGTCCAAGATATTTACTTGCCTTGAAATAACTGTAGTTAAATTCATGCTTGCAATCATTTTTTATAATCTCTATGTAAAATGCCATTTTACTTGACCTAGAAAAGTCATGTGAACTTTTCACATATTTATCAATATCACACTTAAGATTCAAGACTTGATATAACTTAATACTCACTAAATCAATATGAAAATGAAGACACTCACACCAGCTGTTAACACGTGTGGTATTATTATATGAAACAAAATTTACATTTTTAAGGACTAATAAAGGTAAATACACTGAATTACTTTTAGAGTTTTTCTCTGATTTTGAATTGGGCTGTCAGCCAGTTTCATTTAGGTGTCATTTAAAGGCCACTGCTTATGTTTGTGGATAATAATGTCATTTCAAAAAATACTGATGTTAATATATCTTCTAGGGCAATAGATATTTTTGTAGTAAATAAATGAACTTAGTTCCTTCTTCCCAAGAAAAAACAGGACAGAGACTATTTAAATATCTACCCCAAGAAAAGAGTAATCTTTTTCAGTTGTAGATCAAATCTTGTTTCTTCTGTATTCATAACTCTAAATACCCTTTTATCATACTCAGAATAAAATCCAAAAGCCCCTGGGGCTTCTTGGATGTCATCTTCTAAGACCATCCCTTCCCTCACTGCCCTTCAGCCACACCAGCCTCACTGTTATCCCTGAAATCTTCCAAGTGTCACTCAAA